ATAAATGTTTTATCATTTAATATAGGGGAAACTGTTTTTTAAAAAAAAATTTCGGTAATTTTTCCTTAATATAGTAAAAAAATAAAACCCCCAGTGGTGAATAAATACCACCAAAAGAAAGCTCTATCTGTCCCCAAAAAAGGGTATAAAATTCATTTCAGTACAGCGCTGCATGACGGAATAAATGTCAGTTAAAGTACTGCAGCGCTGAATACTGAAAAATGGCCTGGATGGGAAGGGGGTTTAACACCGCGGATGTCAACTGGTTAAAGTAAGAATGTAGGTTGGAAGTTATGGCTTTGGTGGCTGTATATTTTGTTCATTGAAGTAATACAAGAGAAGGACAGCCCAGAAAGTTGGCAGCCATAGGTTTTCTCTCCATTGTATGGAGATCGGTGGGAGGAGAGGCGTTCTTTAACTAGGGATGCACCGATATATCGGCCGCCGAAAACACGTCGGACGAAAATGGCACTTTTGGCATAATGCCGAAAGTGCAATTTTTCTGCCTATACATTGGCGCATCCCTGCTTTTTCTCCTCCCCGCTGGGCGCTGCTCTGTGTCCCAGTGGGGAGGAGAGAAAGTTTCACAGGTGGCCGAGCGCTGCGAGTGGCCGGCGTCTCCTCCCACAATGCTCAGCCTCCTATCACAGCCTGGCAGGGCGTTGTGTGGGCGGAGACAGACTGCGCTGTCACAGGAGGCTGAGCTCTCCTCCCTACACCGCTGGCTCAGCCTCCTGTGACAGCGTGTCAGAGAGGAGATCACTCAGTGATCGCTGAGTGTTTGTAGATAATTGGAGGACATGGTATGTGTACTATATCCTCAATTATTAATGAATGAAAGTGTTAATCACCTCCTGTTCATTCATAGTTGTGGTTATAGTAACCATACGCTGTCCTCATGTTATCAATGAACAGGAACAGTCAGAGATTCCTGTTCATTGATAACAGGGGACACAGAAAAAGAGATAGAGGACTTTGTGTTCTCAATCTCTTTTTCTATTTGAAAAAGGGAACTATCAGGGGTCTGTTTAGACCCCTAATATTTCCCCGAAGCCCCTAAAAGTAATGTAAAAAATAAAAATAAAAAAATTGAGAAGTTTATAAAAATAAAATATTTAAAAAATGTGAAAAAGTTAAAATAAAAAAACATTTTCGGTATCGGCCTGACAATTTTTTTTATTTCGGTTTTAAAATGTCCACTTCGGTGCACCTCTATATTTAACCTCCATCATACTAGTAAAAGTATTTCATAGTAGAGAGTTTTAGTTTTCAACACAACACCAGCAAGTCTCAAAGGCAATGTAAGGTGGAATAGATGCTTTCCCTTCATCACCCCGGACATCAGAAAACACAGCAAACACTTGTATTTTCCACTTTTATTAGCACAGTAACAAATGCAGACTTCATTAGCCTACAACATATAACCAATCCACGGAGTAATTCTTATCCACTTTTACATTTAAACAGCTTAAGGTATTTTACTACAGGTTCCATTACCACCTCTTCCATCAAAGCTCACCAACATACAAAAAAAGGAAAAAGGATATAAAGTGTAAAATGTTTAATACATATAACCCGGCCCCTTACAGTAGAGACTTGGTTATGTTTGTCACACGCACTCTACAATTTATCTCTCACACACAAATACTCATTCAATACTTGAACAAAAGGACAACACAGAGGTATACAGTATAAGCAGTGTAACTGTACAAAATTAAATTGAATAGTTTACATAATCGCATCCAGAACCAAAAATAAAACAGGGGAAAACAACTTTACAATCTTTGTATTCCTCATTAGATCCTAATTCAGAGGTTTCTGTAATCCAGTCAGTTACCGCAGAAAGATACCTTAAGTTACAATAACAAAATTCTCTGGAAATAAAAGACTGAATAAAATCTGTTATAGAAATAACCTATTCTTTGCAGACTCCCACCCTCCATTGCCCAATGAACAAGCAGCTCTTGCCATCACAGACAGACTGGTGTGCCAAATTGTATTTATGTGGCATATCTCTTGGTCCACTGTCTGGCCATTCTGTCATGCTCTGCTCTGTTGGTCGTGTACTGGGTGGCAATGCTTCCGACAAGAGGGTCAGCTAAAGAAGAAGAAAAGAAAAAAAAGTCAGTCAAGGGTGCCAAATAAAAATGTCACAAGCCTCTGTGCTCCTTACTGTTTTCTGTGCGACTTTATGCAATTTGGAACAATTCATTTTATCTGACAGAACACTGTGGTGCCTTCCTGTGCTATGTTATCCCAGTGCGCAAGAACTTTTCCTGGATTGTTTGCATCTCCTACTGTGTATATCCCCTATTTTCTAAAATCAATAAAATGTTATTCTCTGTGTGTGTGTGTGTGTGTGTGTGTGTGTGTGTGTGTGTGTGTGTGTGTGTGTGTGT